AAGATAAAACTAACATAACTGTAATAAATGTTAAATTTAAATTGATTCTACATTTTGCTCAGAAAAAAAGTTCTAGAGGTCACAAACCAATTCAGTCGGTCAGAGGATATCAGTCAGTCATGTCTCCCTTGTCATCACACCCGTACTCTCATTCCTGAGATGTCTCCTCACCACCACAAATAGAAATGACAAACCAGTTTCATTCATTTCCTTAAGGCCACAGGTCACGACCACACACATATTATTAATGAACACGCACAATTTGCAAAGCGCCTCACACCGACTTACACCTGCTGCTGTGATGTCAAAGGAAGAATACGGTCTGACTCTGTCATCCATCATAAAGAGGCTGTGTGGTGTAAGAGTGACTAGAACAATCGAAACAGCTCTATGATGCAATGCAGTGTAACACGAAATAAGAACCACATGACCATGTTGAGAAATTATTTAGACCATGGTTTGTTAACATGTTGACTAAACATAATTGTGCAACTGGTAGCATCATAGCTACGGCTAGGAGTGTGACATTTAAGAAGAGTTCAAATTGTTGCTACAGCATTAACAAAAAATATCTGTGACATTTAAATAGACCTGTCATCGTGTGTCAAGCCTCCCAATGTCAGCTGGGATTGGCTCCAGTATCCCCCTCCCGCAACCCTCAAAATGAAAAGTGGTTTGGATAATGGACGGAGTGATGGATGGACAGATAGGTGGATGGTTTGAGACACTGCCTCAATGAAAACTTCAGGGCTCAGAAGTCCCACAGGATTTGTGATGAGCAATACTAGCTGTATAAATGTGCTGTTAGAGGCAAATTGTACCACTGCTCTGTTACCGACTTTCGGATAAAGCTGCTGAAAATGTGTGATAAAAATAAACTTAAATTCAGTTAAAATGGTAAAAAGAAATAATAATACAGTGCTGTATGCAGTGATGTTCTTCTAGAAACTAATTTCTTCCTTATACGTACACAACTATATGCAGTCACAACACAGAAGCTTACAGCATGACATGCTAGCTCTAAACTACAGTTTAACATGGAAATCAAGAGCGACAGGAGAACAGGGAGGGATGGACTGAGCTGCCGACAGAGCGTCACAGGCCAGAGTGCGATGCTACTGAGTCTACACTGGCAGCACAAGCACATCTATGCTGTTAGTGGCAGACAAGTCACAACAGTAAGTAAAATGATCGACCTCAGCCACATCCATCTCATCATCAAAGGCAATCAGCTGCAAGAGAAGAAGTATAGGGGGCACAGAGTTAGTAGAGGCAGATTAGTGAGTTCAAGCTCGCTCACAAGTGTGCACATGTGAAGCACGTCATGACACAAACACACACGTAGAGTGAAAGAGTGAAAGGACAGAATACTGAAGCTCAGAACATATTAGTGAAGGTAAATACACCCTCCAACCTTCACCTTTCATCTCTTACTACACTGAAATCAGATTATTAGGATATTAACCTTGTCCGACCCTGACCTATAGTACATATAACTTACTCATCACTGCATTGCCTTTGTGCTCTTTGGCAAACACTTGCAGAGAGTTTTTTCTGTTGCAAAAATTAAAGATGCTGTGTCTCCCAACGCGACAGAGCCATGTAAATCCCATTGTTGAGACAATTTCCAACTGTTACTTTCTGACAGTGACTGTGTTAACATGGACACCAATTTATTAACCCCATTTAGACAACAGTCTGAATAGGACACTGTCATGGAAACAGCATTTCTTAAAAACCATATCTTAAATACAGACTTACTCAGAATAAACAATAATACAATTGGGACGTGGAGTATTCTGAACCTAATAACATTACATTGGAGTTTTCACAGCATTTTTTAACATTGACATGTTCGTCATTTACCAACTGCTAGTCATTATCAGACTACACTCTTTAACACTTTAAGTGGAATATGCTATGAGCAACTCATTTGAACATCATAACTAAATTAAAGTTTCACTCAGAGTAAGGTCAATAGTTCAAATATTGGTGTCCGTGATAACGTAGTGACTGACTGTGCTCTATTTGGGGAGGTGTTCTTTTCTTGTGCCTTTCACCTGACTGGAAATTGAAGTAAAATTATATTTTTTGACTGGAAGTTAACATTCCCTTTTGAGATTTGAGACACAATAGAACATGAGAGTCCATTAGGGAGGAGACTTTTATCGTTATTATACATAAAGTTAGAAAATGGAATAAAAACAAACCTGTTTTCAACAACACTCTACTGCAAACCTTTGTGTGGACGCTACGTCTAACTAATACCATAAAGATAAATGTGGTCAGTCTATGAAAACACACAGACGACATGGATTCAGAAACTGTAGAACTGCTAAATGGTCACAACAATAATCACAGATACAAGTCATGATCTAATCATACATGATGCAGTACATGCAAACAGAGCTTTGGATTTTATGTCTAAATGTAAATCTACAGGTGAACAAAAGTGTTTGAACACCTTTCTTCACATATGCTGATGTAGTATCAGGCTACTCCTGTCTTCATGTTGTAAACTTGTATTGTTGGAGGGAGGCAAATATAGCAAGTAGCCTATCATACAATAC